AGCCGCCTTCCCGTCCCCTCTGGAGCCAGAGCACTCCCGCACCCAGCGCCGGCCGTGACCCGGGCCGGCACCCCCCACCCAGGGATAACTTTCCCCGTCACCCGCCGCTACAGGTGTCACTACTTCCCCCGTCACCCCAGGCCCCGCTGCCCAGGGGTTCGCAGCCAGCACGATACCATGGGACAGGCAAAGGGGTCATGCGACCGGGTGAGCTCTGCTATCCCGGTCCCGGCGTGGCCTGAGCCCCGTCCCCCGTGTCCGCCCCGGTGGAGGGACAGGTTGGTGACACTGGGATCTGCTTTGCTGCAGGAACAGACCATCCGCACACCCTGCCTCCTCTCCCGGAGCTGTCGGACTTATCCCTCATGCCGGGGAAACTGAGGCGCAGCAGGCGGGAGGTGCTGGGGGAGAAGCAGTGGCAGAGCCTGGAGGAGAGGGGAAGTGCACATCTGGGGCAGCCCAAGCTCACCAGGTGGGTGCTGCACCTGACGGTGACGCATCACGCACCCCAGCCCCACATCCCACCTGTGCCCCTCGAGTCACCCCCTCCGATGCCTCCTTCCAGATCCAGGACCTATGAGCCCTCTTGCAAGGAGACAGAGCAGGCAGCCACGGGCACGCAGGGACCCCCATCCCCCTCGGTGAGTCTTGGGGTCTGCGGAGGAGCAGAACCCCAGCGCCAGTCCCAGCCCCAGGGTCTCGGCTGGGTGCTCTCTTGGGGCGGGGGCCGAGGGAGGGCTCGTCCCGGTCCCGTGGCAGACGCGATGATGGAACAAGGGGCTGCGGGATGCCCGCGGTGCCGGGGCTCGCCCTGAGCATCAGCCCCCCGACCTCCCGCAGCTGAGCAAGCAGGACAGCAGCTACCGCCGAGCCTTCGGGGAGCTCGCCGAGCAGGACATGCTGCTGGGCTGCTTCTCGTGTGCCTGGCAGAGAGAGGTGCCCTACCACGGTCGTCTCTACGTGTCCTCCCGCCACATCTGCTTCCACTCCAACCTCCTGCTCAAGGACATCAAGGTGGGCTGGAGTGGGCGTGGGGCCAGCAGAACAGGCACAGGTGGCAGCCGGGAACACGGTGACACAGCCTGTTTCCCCTGGCACAGGCCGTCGTCCCTGTTGGCTCCGTCTCAGCCATCAAAAAGACCAACACGGCGTTGCTGGTGCCTAACGCAGTCAGCATCCGCACGGCAAAGGGGGAGAAGGTGAGAGCAGGGACAGTGCTGGCAGGCAGCCTCACCTGGAGTGCCCTTTGGAGTGTCCTGGTCCCTGTGGGCTCTGGGCTGCCACTGAGGGGGTAGGTCTGGCACAAACCCCCTTCTCACTCCCCCGCAGTTCCTCTTTGTGTCGCTGCGCCAGCGAGAGGCCACGTACCAGCTCCTGAGGTCAGTCTGCAAACACCTGCAGGTACGCGGGGCCTGGATGGGGAGGGGGGGGCTCCATCCATCCATTGCAGGTCACCTCCCTTCATCTCTCCTTGTCCAGGACAGCGGCCAGAGCCCTCGAAGCTCAGTGAACAACGAGGAAACTCTTAGGAAGTCTCAAGTAAGGCCAGGGAAGGGAGGGCAGGAGGGAACAGCAGGAGGAGGGGCAGTCCCAGCCTCCTGGATGAGGTGGGCTCGCCATAATGGCTCCTGGGAAGCCCCAGCCCCAGGACCCTCTGTTCTTGTGGGTGACACAAGTCCCATCAGGTCCTGCCCATGTCTGCATGGCAGTGGGGCAGGTAGGTGCCTTTGGGGACACACATCATGACTGGGGCTTGTCCTCTTCCAGATCTCGAGCTCTTCAGACCTGGGGCAGAGCACCCCGGAGCCAAACAGCCTCCACGAATCCCTGGGTGAGCAGCCAGCCTGGTGCACCCCATGCATGCTCACAGCCCTGCTCTGGCAGCTCTGGGCTCTGCTCCTCCTCCCCAGACACGCAGGGCCTGGGAGTGACCTCGCTGCCCTCACCCTCCCCGTCCCCGAGCAGCATCTCCCGCAGCTCCAGGGAGTGCAGGATCAGCTCTTTGTGGCCCCGTGTGCCCCTGGGACACCTAGACCTCTCCCTAGGGCATTCATCGATTGTCTCCTGGTCACCTGCAGATGAGCCAAACCCAACATCAAGGCAAGCAGAGGACGAGGATGATGGGGTGGCCCTACTAGTTCCCAGCAGCAGCGAATGGGTGCCCTCAGCAGAGACCTGTGGCCTCTGGGGTACGTCAGGGGGCTTGGGATGGGGGGATTTTTTACACCCTGGCAGAGCTGAGCAGGGGCTCTCATGCCAGTGTCACTGCCTCTCCTAGCAGGGGGACCCCACACCGTGCTCCAGGCCTGGGCTACTGCACTTTGGTCCCGGATAAACCCCCAGCTGAGCCCTCTCAACATCATCATCATCATCTACCTGCTGCTGTGAGTCTCCAGGACCTGCTCACACTCCCACTCCCCATCCCTCCTGAGCCCCAGCAGCCTCTCCAGGGTGGCACTGGCAGGCCGGGGTTCCCGCATTTCCCCTTGGACACCCATCCCAAGGGCGAGCACACGGAGCCTGGCCGTGGCACTGCTCCTGCCCCACGTCACCACCCTGTGCCCCCTGGCTGACACTGGCCTGTTCTCAGCATGGTGGCCTTGCTGCTGTCCTCGGGGTACATCAGTCTGCGCATTGCGGAGCTGGAGCAGCAGCTGGAGTTTGTGGGGGCTTGGCCACATCTCAACCTGTCACAGCAGTGAGTGGAGGGGCATGGGGTGGCCTCTGTCCCCATCAGAGACTCCTCACCCTGCCTGCCCTCGGGTAGAAGACAACGTGAGGCCACCAAGGACCATCACCAGAGCTCCAGTTGGGGGGTCAGGGCCTCTCTGAGCCCTTCCTTGGCCTCTCAGGGGTGGCTCTGTCACCAAGTGCCTTCCAGCCCCCCACAATGCCTGAGAAGCCCAAATGGGCTGCAAGGCTCCATCTCTCTCCCCACTGTCTGCCCACCCTGAGCAGCAGCAGAAGAGACCCAGGGAGCTCCCTGTGGGACACAGAGCAGGGAAGGGGGGCTGGAGTCAGCACCAACCCCCACCCAGCCCTGAGGCAGGGCAGGCAGAGGGGGCCAAGCCCCAGGCAAGGCAGGGGCACAAAGAACAGATTATATTAGTAAATATTAATAAAATCAGTATTATATTAATACTTATTATTTGCTGGGCCAGATGCCACAGGATGAACATAAACCAGTCCCCCATCACACACCCCCTACTCTCCAGAACGGACCAGGACACAGCAGGATCAGGGGCTTTGACTGCTGTGGGTAGGCAGCTCCAGGTGCTGATGTCCCGGGGTCCAGGGAGCAGCAGAAGGCCCTGAGCAGTCCCCTGGAGCGCTGGCTGCTGGTGACAATGGGAGACAGAGGGGAAGGGGGTGGTGAGGGTGCATCAGGGAGTCCCAGGGCCCTGCAGCTGGCCAGGCCCCGGCTCTTACCCTGCTCCTTCCCTAGGATGGGGCTCACCTGACAGAGGAAGGGGTTCCAGCAGGTGCAGGGTCACAGGTACATGGTGGGGATAATGGGTTCCCACAGGTTCTGAGCATAAGCTGGGGGTGGGAGCAGAGCTGGGGGCACAGCAGAACCTGCACCCCACAGAAGGATCCACTCAGCCCAAAGCCCTGGAGCTTAATCCCACTCTGGACCAGTTAAAGGGCCCTGGGACTTCTCCCAGGCTCCAAGGTGGGGAAACTCAGGCACTGACAGCTCCTTTCTCTTTGCCATTTCCTGGCCATTCCTTCCCCAAACCCACAGCTCAGCTCTGTGCCTGGGCAGCAGCAGTGGGTGATGCCAAGGTCGGGATCCTCCCCCTCCTCATCCTGCTGCTCAGCCCCATGGATCAGCTCTGCCCCACACCACCCAGCCCAGGGGGTCTTCTAGCAGCAGGCCTGGTCCGCACAGCATAAGACACCAGTCACTGGGGGGAGGGAGCTGCCAGCGTTTCATGTCTCTCCTGAAGGCTGGAAAAAGGCACAGGCGTGGGGGCACAGGGTTGTACCCCACTGGAGAGGTGTCCCCTGTCCACAGGGCTACAATGCCAGGGAGGAGATGCCGCCCCATGTGAGGGTCCCACCTGCATGGGGACAGCAGGACTCCTGACTCAAGGGCCTGCAGGACAGAGGGGTCTCACAGCAGCCATTCCCTGCCCAAGGAGGGGCTGTGCAAGGCCAGAGGCCCCTTTTCCTCCTTCCTGCCATGCTGAGGGGTACAAGGCAGGGAAGGAAGGGGCGGGGCTGTGCCCTTTGCCAGCAGCAGGAAAGCAAACAGGGAGCAATAAACCTCAGGTGAGAGCTGTGCCAAGAAAGTTGGTACCTGCACAGGTGGGGTGGGGACCCTGGGGCCTTGCTGCACCCTTCACTGTGGAGAATCAAAGCGGAGCCATGGAGACCAATCCAAATAAATTCACAACCTGTTTAATGCCAGTTCAATTGCTTTACATGAAAAAGTTACAGCGTGCTCCATCTTTGTTTTCAATCACATGACACCTGGGATACAACGATGCCACAGACTCTGTCAGCCAACTCTGGGAGAACCCTGTGCCTGAGCCAGTGCCCACAGGTCACACACACTGACACATCACCTCAGACCTGCCCTTTTCCCTCTTGAGCAGCCAGTGACAGTGTCAGTATCACCCTGAGACACTTGCACACACCCACCTCCACACAGATACAACTGGGAGCTCCTGCCTGGCAGCTGGGAGTGGGGCAGTAGTGGGCTTTGACAGCCAGATCAGGGTGAGCAGCCTGTTCTTGCCATGCTCTGTCACCTACACATGTGGGCACAGAACAGTCCTGGCCTGGGAATCACTAACCCTGGCCTGGGAATCACCAGCCTCCCTGCCAAGTGCAATAAAGAAGCTAACCTGCTCCCAAGGCAGACAGAAAAGTGAGATGTAGACACAAGATGTAGTTTGGAAAAGTCCTTAGCAAGAGGGGACAATGGTGGGGACAGAACAATGAGGAGCTATCCCTACTCTGCAGCTGGGAGAACTGGGTAGTGGCTGCAGTGCCCACCTGGCACTGCCCACCCCACAGCACTGCCACTCCTCCCATCAGCTTCTGGGACTCCTTGAGGAAGTTCCCCCATCACAGGGTAAGAGGCAAATCCACTCCTCTGGAGCCCCAGGGCACTGGGGAGCCTAATCATCACCATGGCATCACTGCACTCCAGCTGGGTGCCTGGTTCCCTCCAGCTCCAGAATGGGCTGAGACCTCCTGTGTGCCCCCAGTCCAAGCACTTACACCTTCAGAGGAGAAACTAGTGTGTCCTGCGGGTCTGCACAGTGCTATTTAGTGGGAGGCAATCCACAACAGGAAAATCTACAGCACAGCCGCCAGCCTCTCCCCAGCCTCCCTAAACAGCTCTTTCCCCAGGTGATGACACCCACAACAGACCACCTCTTGCTTCAGGTGGCCCTTTGCCTCAAACCCATTCCCCAAGTTAATGATGCAAGTCAATTTAACACCTCCTCGGTGCTTTGGGGTGCTCCCAACCCATGGTGATGTGGAACAGTGCCCACAAGTGGGTAGTTGAGCTCAAACAGTGTTTCAGAAACTCCATGGAAATTCCATTTTGGTGGCAAGTGAGACTGTGAGATGACAAAGTGGCCTGTGGGCCTGGGAGACTGCCAGGGGACTCCCAGCACACCAGCTCCTCACCAGTGACTCCCAGTATGTGCAACACAGGCCCAGCACCACCAGCCTGATCCAGGCACTGGTGTGATGGCACATATGGTCAAGGCTGTATTGGCCTTCTCGCACCTTGGCTCATGCTAAGGATACTGGTGGTACTGGGGAGGACAGACAATCATATTCCTACCGCCTGGTTTTAGGGAAAGGAGAGAAGACAAAACAACAGATTAAAAAAAGAAAGAGAAAGCATCACCTATGCAATCTACAGAGAGAGGACAAGTCTATATATACAGCCAGGGAATTCCACATGGGAACAGGAAGCAATGCTGGGAGAGGGCAGGGTAGGCACAGGCATGGGTCAGAGGGAACAGGCAGCACAGCCTCACAGCTTCTCTTAAATTAAAAGCAACAAACACATACAGAGCATTTGTGTTACGTTCCATGGGCTCCAACTCTCAGCCAAAACTCTTGTCCCACACAATCTAAAAATCCCAAACCACACACCAAAACTCAACAGCAGGTCCCTGTCTGGGACTTGGAGATAATAAAAAAGCAACACTGCAGCCCTGTTTCAGAAGAACCCCTCTTCCAGCCAGAAGAGGCCCTGCTCACCCCAAAAATCAGAACTTCAGGATTTGCTTCTGTTCTCAAACACATCCCAACTGCTTTTGGCCTCAGGGAGACTCCAGAGCAAAGGCACCACACCTGGTGGCAGCGAAAGAAGCTCCACATGCACAGGTGGTTGAGTGGGTTTCTTTTTTCATAAAGTCCTTATTTCTCCTCTCTGGTAACTCCCACGATCAGCCCAGAATATGAAACAGCCAACTGCAGAACTTCCCAATCCTGCTCCCTTAGAGGTGAAGCTTTTTCAAGTCTCCTCCAAAGTCTAGAGCCCCAAATGTATTTGTTCAGAGGCAGCTGTCAAGCATGCCAAAAAAAATCAAGCTGTCTTATGGAATGATCATGTCAAGTACTACAGTACCTGTCTGGGGGGAAAAAATAAAGAAAAAAAAGGAAAATAGGCAGTTCTCCAGTTTCTTCCTGGAATGGGGATGCCAGGCTATGAACAAAGCCCTTAGATGCCCAGCCTGGAGCTGTGCCCCTTGCACCAGCTGTACCGGACCAGTCTGGCTGGCTCCTGCCCCTAGAGATGTCACTCTAGGACACAGCAGCATGTCAAACCTCTTCCCACAGCAGCAAGGATATTCTCCTCTCTTGCAGGAGGCACACCATGGCAGTGGGGATGGCCTCAGTCCAGTCTCAATGGTCCATGTCACACGAGTCCTCCCCAGTACCATCCCAACGGCTGGACGATGCTGGGTTAACATTTCTCTTTTACCCGTTTCCCTTTATGAAGGATGAATCCAATAACCTTTGGCAGTTCCCTCCCCTCCCCACCCCATCCCAAATACTGCCCAGCCCTGTGGTTCACAAGCACATATTTAATGAGCTGGGTCCTCCTCCAGTCCCACAGCTCTCCCTCCCCTTGGCTGGGCTCCGAGGGTCCATGCACACCAAGGGAGTGGTCTGATCCTGGAATGTCAGGCTGTAGGTTCCTGGGGCACAGGGAGGGGGTTTATCGTATCCTGGTGAAGAGGTTGAGCACAGATACAGACTCCTGACAAGGGAAGACAAAGCAGGGGGTAAATAGCCATTACTCTACATGCTTCTGGGTTGGTTTGTTTTTAATCTGGTATCTCTAGCTCAGGGCATGATCCCAGCTCACAAATCAAAGTCCAACACCATAAATATTCCCACGGGTTTCCTCCAAATGGTAACAAGTGCGCAGCTGGCCAGAGTGCCATTCCCAGAGCTCTGTAGGCAGCTGTACCTCAGAGATGGCAAGAACTGGGGGACCCCCAGGAGCAATGCCAGCTTGCCCCAGTCCCCTCCTCCAAATCCCTCTGCCAGGCACCCAAGAAAGCTCTCAGAGCACCAGGCACAATCTGCTTTTGGTGATGATGAGTTGTCACTGGCAGAATCCATGATCCCATTTTCATCCAAACCCAAATTTTAAGCAGTTTTATAAAGAGGAGGGAATAATCACGGAATCACAGAACGGCTTGGGCTTCAAGGGACCTTGAAGTTCATCACCTTCCACCCCGCAACCATGGGTTCCAAGCTCTGTCCAGCCTGGCCTTGGACACTTCTAGAGATCCAGGGGCAGCCACAGCTGCTCTGAGCAACCCGTGCTGGGGCCTGCCCACCCTCACAGGGAACAATTCCTCTCCAGCCATTTAGGCCTGTCCTCTGGCAGTGGGAAGCCATTCCCTGTGTCTTATCCCTCCATACCCTGGTCCAAAATCCTTCTCCAGTTCTCTTGGAATCCCATTAGGCACTATAAAGGGCTGTAATGTCTCCCTGGGGCTTTGTCCTCTCCAGCTGGACAACCCCAGCTCTCCCAGCCTGCTGGGCTCAGCTTGGTGAGGTCCCCGAAATGCTGCTCTCCTCAGCAGCCCCGGACCAGCCTGGAGAAGGATATTGTGTCACACCTGCCTTGGGCACACAGGGTGACCTTTTACTTAAATTTCAGCCAAGTTGAATCCTTCACTGCCCCAGCCCTTGATCTGCAGGAAGGGATCAGAGAGGAGGCAGTAGAGCAGAGCCAACGTGGCCTGAGTTCCCCCAGGCAGCTGCCCCCATGCCTGGCCTTACCTTTGTTGAGCGAGTTTTACTGAAGACGTTCCAGAAGCGCAAGGTTTCGTCTCCAGCTCCTGTGACAATAGCCTCCCCATCAGGGGACATTGCCTAAGGACAAGACAACAACCTTTAGCATCTGTCACATTTTTGAGGCTGAAAATAAGTCTCTGTTGGAATGCAGGAGAGATTTAACTCTCCTTTCTACTTGGCAGTAAGAAACCAGCTACCTCTACTTCCAGGTGCTTCATGCAGCCTCAGGTGCATTTGGGCACTTGCACCTTATGGTGCAGCTATGGAACACATGGGGTGAGCCGTGTGGAAAGAATACTTGTGTTAAGAAATCCAAGCCATGTGAAACTGAGGATGTTCCTCCCAGGATTATCAACATGCCTGAAGGCAGGAAGATAGTATGACTGGATTTTCTTGTTGCATTGGTTGCTTACACTGGGATTTACCTCCCAAAACATTATCAGCATTTCTCATCTCTGTTGTGAACTGCTGACACCCCCATGTAACAGTAACAGCAGATATGAGATGGATCAGGATTACCCACAACAAATGTTTAATTCCCTGGGCAGCAGTCATCATTGAAGAGGAGTGGAAGTCCTCTTGGAAAAAGGAGAGAAGCTTGTGTTTCCTAAAATCACAGTATCCCAGAGTATTTTGGGTTGGAAAGGACCTTAAAGCTCATCTCATTCCACTCCCTTCCACTATCCCAGGTTTCTCCAAGGCCCGTCTAACCTGGCCTTGGACACTTCCAGGGATCCAGGGGCAGCCACGGCTGCTCTGGACAGCTGCTGCCAGGGCTTTGCTACCCTCACAGAATTTCTTCCCAACATCCCATCTAACCCTGCCTGTGGGAGTTTGAAGCCATTCCCTGTGTCCTGCCATTCCAGATCTTTTTCCAGTGTCCCTCCACAGCTCTCCTTGAGCCTCTTTAGGCACTGGAAGGTCTCCCTGGAACCTTCTCTTCTCCAGGCTCAGAGAGGAGTTTTCTTAGAAGAAAACTCAGATGTTTCCTCAGGAGAGTTCCTATCATTAACAAAACCTCATACTTCCACAGCAGCAAATCAAAGTACCCCTTGCAGGCACAGAAATGCAACAGTTTTCCACTGCTCATTGGGAGTGTTCCCATTCCTGTCCAGGCAGCTTATAGTGCCACTGGCACTGCTGCTTTGGGTCCCATCTGAGCACACCTACAGCCAGGTGAACAGCTACAGAACCGTGGCCATCACTCACCAGATACAGGACTCGATAAGAGTGCCCTGTGAGCTTTGCTACTTGAGTTAACGAGGGGTATTTCCAGACGAGGATCTGGTTCTGGGAGTATCCATGGGTGCTCACCTGAAAGGGGAGAGGGGAACATGCATCACAGATTCATGGAATTGTTAAGGCTGGAAAAGACTGCCAAGATCACCAAGTCCAACAGTCTACAGACTACACCAGTGCCCTGGGCAGCTCATTCCAGTGCCTGATCACCATGAAGAAATTCTCCCAATATCCAATCTGAACTTCACCTGGTGCAACTTGAGGCCTTTTCTTCTTGTGCTGTCACTTGTTACCTGGAAGAAGAGCCTAAATTTCACCTGGCTCCACCCTCCTGTCAGAAGGAGAAAAGGTGCCTCCTGAGCCTCCTTCTTTCCAGGCTAGAGTCCCTCAGCTCCTTCAGCTGCTCCTCAACAGACTTGTGCTCCAGCCCTGTCCCCAGCTCTGTTCCATTCTCCAGACAGTCTCCAGCCTCTCACTGTCTTTCTTGTTGTGAGGGGCCCAAAACTGACCCCAGCACCTGAGGTGTCTCAGCAGTGCCCAGAAAAGAAGGGCAGTCACTGCCCTGGTCCTGCTGGCAACACCCTTGCTGGTACAAGCCAGGTGCCACTTGCCTCCTTGCCCACCAGGGCACACCTGGCTCATGCTCAGCCATGCTTCCCAACACAGGGCAGCTTGGCAGCAGTTGCTCAGGGAAGGACTCACCAGCTCATTGGCATGTTTGGACCAGGCCAGGTTGCACACCTGGGACCCAGTGTCGATGCACTGCAGGGGCTGCCCTGTGAGTGTGTTCCAGAAGCGGATGCAGCGGTCAGCTGTGCCCCCACCCGAGGCCAGGAGCCCGTGCTGGTGTGGGGACCAGGCAATGGCTTTGACTGCTGCCAGGTGCTCTGTGTATTGTTGGACAGGACTCAGGCTGGAGTGATTCCAGACAAGGAGCTGGCAGAGAGAAGAGACATGATCAAAATTGTGCCTCAGTCATGTGTCCACTACACGCACAAGCCACAATGGGACTGATAAGCGCAGATGGGGAACAAGCTGATTTCCCACAGCTTTGCCCAGACATGCACAACTCCACTCTGCTCATCACAGAATCATGCAATGGTTTGGGTTGGTTAAAGCTCATTCAGTTCAAATCCCTGCCACAGGTTGCTCTTAGCCCCATTCAACCTGACCTTGAACACTTTCAGGGATGGGACACAACCACCCTAGCACTACACTCAGCTGATGAGCTGTCCTACCCCCAGGCCACATGGCAGGAACAGGCCCTAAGGTAAGGGAATAAATCTAAAGAAACAGCATCACTGAAGGGGGCCTCAGACCCTTCTGCTGCCTTTCTGGCTGTATCATCCCAGAACACATCTAGAAATCTGCTCAGTTCATTAGGAGTTATTCTGAGCAGGAGAAACTCGGTCCAACCATGCTGTCACACAGGCACTGGGCACATTCCCTACCTAGCAACCCACTCCAAAGGGCTTGGAACACTGCTTCTTTGTGACAGATGCCTCTCCCATATGGTGCTCAGTAAGCTATAAGCCTGTGTTACAGGTATGAGAACTCACAGAGCTCTACCTCAGGTTCCTGCTGCACACAAACATTACCGCAACAAACGTGACCATACACTACCCAAACAAAGCCAGGAAGGGCAGCTTAGCAGTGACTTTGTTGAATGCAACCCCCTGAGCCAAGCTAGATATTTAATTAGCCAAATAGAGAAGTAAAATTAAATTTGCCTTTTTCATTTTATTAGGAAGAGAAGACTGAGTAGAAGATTAGCATAATTTATGTTTGGTCATAGTCCAACAACCAAAACAAAAGTCCTTTTCAGAAAGGAAAAACATCCTTAAAGAATCACTGAACCATAAAGGTTGTAAAACACCTTTAATATCAAGGCCAACCTTTGATCTAAGCCCACCATGCTTAGTAAATCATACTGCAAAGTGCCTCATCCACTTGCTTTTTGAACACTTCCAGGAATGGCAACTCCCCCACTGCCCTGGGCATCCTGTTCCAATGCTTAACCACTCTTACAGCAAAGAAATTTTTCCCTAATCATAAAATCATACAATGGTTTGAGTTGGAGGGGACCTAAAAGCCCATCTAGTTCCATCCCCTGCAGTGGGAAGGGACACCTTCCACTAGACCACGTTGCTGCACATCCTGTCCAGCCTGGCCTTGACTACTTCCAGCAATATAATACCATCCAACCTGAACCGCCCCCAGTGCAACTTGACAACATTTCCCCTCGCCGTAGAAAGAAAGGGGGTCTGACATTTCCCGTGACCCCTTGGGAGGAATGTACCTTATTATCATTCCCTCCAGAGGCCAGGAGCTGGTGGTCTGTGGACCATTTGAGCCCACAGACCTCCTGCCTGTGTCCCTGGAGCCGCCGCTCGGACTGCAGGGGTGGGGTGCGGATGTCCCGCTGCAGGATCATCCTGTCCCGGCTCCCGGACGAGAGCTGGTCCGCGTTCCACGCCAAGGCACCTGCAACAGGGACAGAGCTTCAGAGTGCTGTAGGAGTCATGCAATCACAGAACCACTGAGGCTGCAAAAGACCTTCAAGGTCACCCAGTCCGTCAACTCAAGCACCACCACCACGTTCACCACCAAACCATGTCCTCAAGTGCCACATCCACAAGTTGTCTAAACACTTTTCAGGCATGGTGACTCCACCACTGCCCTAGGCAGCCTGTTTCAATGATTTATAACCCTTTCTGTGAAGAAATTTTCCCAATATCCAATCTAAACCTCCTCTAGCACAGCTTGAGGGCATATCCTTTCATCCTGTGCCTTGCTCCCTGGGAGCAGAGCCTGACCCCCACCTGGCTCCACCCTCCTGTCAGGGAGCTGTGCAGAGCCAGAAGGTCTCCCTTGAGCTTCTCTCCAGGCTCACCCCCCACAGCTCCCTCCTGGTGCCACCAGCTGCTCCTGGTGCTCCAGTCCCTTCCCTAGCTCTGTTCCTTCCTCTGGACACACTCCAGCTGCTCAATGTCTTTCTTGTTGTGAGAGATCTGAAACTGACTCCAGGATCTGAGGTGAAACCTCAGTAGTGCCCAGCACAGAGGGATGGTCAGTGCTCTGGTCCTGCTGGCCACATTAGCAAGCCCAGCCCTACCAGTCCTGCAGCAGTTGGTCAGCAAAATGCAGCCATCACAGCTGCCAGGGTTTAAAAAAAAAAAAAGCCCCTAAAAAACCTCAAACTACTCCTTACAGAACCCCCTTACATCTACTCTCTGGAGTCCTAGATCAGGGGGCATAAAAGTAGAGGTTCCCCTAAACAGACTGGCTGCAGGTATTACCAATCCCATTTCACAGTGCAGTAAAACACAAGAATATATCTCAGAAGGTGCATGGAGCTCCTAAATCTCACTCCAGAGTTTAGATTTGCAACATCTCTGAGCAGAAGAAAACAGCCCCCCAAAAAAGGGAACTGGAAATCTCAGTGTGAAGCTGCCAGCAGGGATGAAATCGGAAGCCAGCAGCAATGAAGAGATGTTGTAATCAAACCCAAAAAGCCTCAAGCAAGAAGGAAACACCTACTGCAACACCCAACCACCATCACACCCAGATCAGAACACCAGAGTTATGAGATGATAGTATTTTGAACCTGCTCAAGACACAGCAGGGGATAAATATCAATCCTGGTACTCTGAGTTCTCCATTTCCAGCAGATCCCTGGCTAACAAAGTTCAATCAGGCTGGAGAGAACCCTGAGAACCCTCTGCTTTCCCGCTCCTTACCGACTCTGGCTGTGTGACCCTCCAGCATGGAGAGCTTCTTTCCTGCAGCTGCATCCCAGATCTGTACAAAGCCCTTGTGAGTACCAACAGCCACCAAGTTTCCCTGGACAAAGAGAGCCAAGATCAGTACAGCCACAAAACTGATAGTTGAGGAAAAGACTTGATAAAAATCCCATGACATGGAAAGCATCCAGAGTTCTTCCATCTTACATTTTTTCCCTACTGAGAGGCCCAAGCAGCCTGTCTGGAATATATTTGTTGTAACATTTTATTGTCAAGAGCTGAAGAAGAAAACTGGCTCCTTCTCCCTCCCACTCCTATTAGCAATGCCTCGAGAACCTCAAGATACAAGAGACTGCTCTCTATCCCCTGTTTTTTAGCAGAGAACAGCCAGCTCAGGGAGTTAACTAATAGCTATGATGACAGTGAGTAAGTGAGCCATGTCTCAGCTGTCCTTGCTGACAGTGTCATACTGACCCGCTCTGACCAGCCCACGGATGTCACAGAATCGCCTTCCACAGAGAGGTCACACAGCCGGGTTACCTTCAGAGAGAAGGATGAGGTAAGAAACATATTTTTGTCACACAGCACTACTGGCTGTCTCACAAACCAGTGCTGTGTTTGGGATAAGTGTGTGACAAGTGCTGAAGCCCTCACACAGCACATTCCATAGCTCTGGAAGGCTGGAAAACCCTACATCAATGGGCAATTAAATCTTCAGAAACTCATGACCAATTTACCTGACTCGTACAAGCACTCCACAGGTAAACACAAGTCCCAAGGCCAACACTGAGGACATTAAGAGAGGACCAGTCCACCAGGTTCAGGTAGAAGTCATCCTGCAGCTCTGGGGCATCCAGCACTTTGAAAGGAATCTTGGAGATTTTCCGAGTTGGTTTTCGAGGTGATCTTAGCAGCTTCTGACTGTTTACAAAAACACATAAAAAAACAACTACAGGAATCTGAACATCACAGCAGATGGGAGGCACAGGTGTAGCCACTCTTTCCAGAGCACTCTGAAGTTTCTATAGAAATTCAGAGACAAAAAGGCTGCACGACTTTTTTTCAGGAGAAAGACTGGAAGGAATTAGGTTCTGCTTCTACAAAGGAGAAAGCAGAAAGGTAAACTGATTATTACTGAGAGTTGACCAAGACATCTCAAGCACATAGGAAGGTTGGGAACCTGAAGAAATTTTTGGAACTTGACTGTTTTATTTATTAACTCTCCAAATTTCCAAACCCAATTCAAATCACAATTTTAGAGTTTTAGACAGAAGTCATAGAGAACCTCACCAAAGCCTCTGTCCCAGCCCTTACCTTCTATTAGTTTGCAGAGAATCAGTGTTACCTTTTGTTGCTGACAGGAGACAGGGAATACGGTGAGACCTCATTGCCATCATCTGGGCTGGAGCGTTTTGTGCTGAGCGAGTACTACATAAAGAAACATACCCCATGAGGACCCCAGCATGCCTGAGGCCTGGGCATCACTCCCAACGTGCACTGGTGCCAAGCTAATTCCAACAACTAGTTTTTCCTTTCCCAGCTTCTCCAAAATCATACAAAATCCCTCAGCAACACTCAAGTCCAAAAGCCTGACTTGGCCACCACACTGTCTGAAAAGCCTGGCTCCACCCAGCACAAACACAGGAAGCACACTGCTTGCTGCACACTCAGATTCCCTGAGTGCAGGCCACCACACTTGTTATCAATAGCTTATCTCAGCCAAGCCTCAACACCAACTCACTGCACAAACAGCCTGGCAGAGCCCTGTGCTCTGTTCCTATGACACACATGCAACCTCCACTGGTGTTAATGCAAGTAACCAACTTACAGTGAACAGAGATTTCTTCTCAGGGGTGGATGGCTGTAGCCTCCTGTCCTCTGTCTGAGGGTCCTGCACCTTCTCAATCCCTGCCCCCAAGAGTTCGTTCTTCAACAAGGCAGAATAGGCAAGGCCATCTGTAAATCCAAACAGGCACTGGGCAGAGAGCTCAGAGCAGCAACAGCAGGGAATGTCAGGATCATGTGTGCCTGACCTGGAGAAGAGAAGGCTCCAGGGAGAGCCCAGAGCCCCTTGCAGAGCCTAAAGGGGCTCCAGGAGAGCTGGAGAGGGACTTGGGACAAAGGATGGAGGGACAGGACAAGGGGGATGGTTTCCCACTGCCAGAGGGAAGGGCTGAACGGGATATTAGGAAGGAATTGTTCCCTGTCAGGATGGTGAGGCCCTGGCACAGGGTGCCCAGAGCAGCTGTGGCTGCCCCTGGATCCCTGGAAGTGTCCAAGGCCAAGCTGGACAGGGCTTGGAGCTACCTGGGGTAGTGGAAGGGGTCCCTGCCCATAGCAGGGGTTGGGAATGAGCTTTAAGGTCCCTTCCAACCCAAACCAGTCTAGGATTCTACAACTTGTACTCTCACAGAGTCTCTTAATAAGCCTGGAGCCCCCATTTTGCATCAAGATTAGCAGCAAGTTTACACTCCTTCCACTCTACCAGGAAAGCTTCCATGACACAGTAAATCAAGGGATAGAGACAGCCTCTTGCATCCAGACACTCATCAAAAGCAGTGACCTGGTACTTATGATGTGGGCACTTCCCAAAACACCAGCAGCATGAGTTTTGGCATAAGCATGAAAGTGTCAGCATGGCCTTAACTTCCCTAGCAGTTCGCAGTAAGAGCTCTGGGCACTGCCAAGCAGTAAAAGGGTGGTCTCACCTTTGCCAGTGTCTGATGTAGCATCCTTTGCTTTTCTGTTTTGGCTTGGTGATTTTTCATTTTCCTGAAATGGAGAAACATGCCATCACCATACAGAAACCTCAGGGTACATGGTGAAATAGCAAATGCAGGAAGAATAGGGTTTGAGGACACACGCTCAATGGAACTCTTCTGGGGCAGCAGAAGCACATGGTGCAGAAGATAAGCAGAGCAATTATGCCAGCCAAAACAAGTTCCAAGTTCCTCAGTTCCAAGGCCGTGCTGTAGGAGCAGGGAGCAAAACTTACATTTATTCTGTGGAAGTTGATGCTCCAGTTGGCCCCAGCTCTTGAGGGAATGAATCTGTCACCATGCTTACTAGGAGAAGACATTGGAGAATTGGAAGGTGTCAAGGTTCTTCGCATCTCTGCTACCTGAATTAAAGAATAAGAGATACTGAACTTACTCTTGTCAAGCCCTAGTGTTGGTTGTTGTTGGTTTTTATGTTTCATGTGTAGTTGCTGAGATTATGTACTAAAAAGCTATTACTGAACTCCACAAAAATATCTTCACCCCTTTTTGCAACCAGAACTTAGGTTATATATTCAAGAGCTCTCTTAAAGTCAAACTATTTGGGTATTCATAGAACGGCTGAGGAGCTCACACCTGCTCACAACCCAACAAAATACTGTGGTTTGCTTTGAGGAGGTCCCAGGTCTTCCAAAAGCTCAAGGAAAACAGTCAAAAGTGAGACAGAAAACAACATAACAGTGAGCCTGAGCCCATCTGTACTCACACAAGGCATTGTGTTCTCATTCTGTATGTTGATTTGGCGTAGGAGACGTCTCTCGTAGTCCTGATCCATGGTGGGAAGCTGGCTGGAGAGATCAGCAGGCTCCGGAATTTATGTTTGCGAAGTCCAAGCAGTAACTAGTGTGCTGTAACAGGAGGAGAATAACAAAATGTTACACTCCTCCATGCTGAAACAGCCTCTTCAAAGTCTCCTGAGACTGTTCTTTGCACTTTTCCTATCCAGAGCATTGGTACCAAACTTGTGTGACACTGAAGAACACAGGCAGCTGGTATTCTGTGTCTGACAGGACCTCAGCCGGTCCCCACCACACCTGGAGCAGGAACTGCCCCCCAGGCCCTGCAGCAGCAGAGTCTGGCAATCCTTCAGGACACAGGCATGAAAAATCCAGGTACCTGCAGTCTGTCCTGTCCAGGCACTGGCACCAGTTGCACAGAGAAGTTTGGCTGCCCCATTCATGAAAGTGTACATGGCCAGGTTGGTCCAGGCTTGGAGCAACCTGGTGTACTAAAGGTGTCCCTGTCCATGGCAGGGTGCGGAATGAGGTGGGCTTTAAGGTCATTTCCAACCCAAACCAATGTGGGGTTCTGTGATCCCACTACATCCTGTCCCACTGCTCAGGTCAGGGGCACAGGAGCAGCGCTGAAAGTGGGATGCTTTTAGCCATGTCAAAAGTACTGCAGAATTTAACACCAACAACTGGAGGAATACACTAGGGCTCTAGTAGTCCCAGTGAACATTCCATATCTGATGTCTGCACTATCCCAAGTACTCCTGGCTGGCACAAAGCTTGCTCACTCATATAGCTATAAAGTCTGTAAGCAACATGAACATCATTTAAGCACATATTTTAAGCAAATATTTTAGGACAGAGCTGCTTCATACCTGAGATTTGCCTGGCAAATTACCATGTGCATCAATAAAAAATAAATGAGCTGACACTTGTGTGAGATTACACAGTCACAGCCCTTGCCAAGCCCCAAGGGCAGAGAGCAGCACCCCCGGGGTCCAGGGTCCAACCTTCCCCATCACACACCTTGTGCTTTATCCACAGCTGACATGGGCACAAAAACACCAGCTTGAAGAAACATCAAGTTGGTCTTTCAACCCAAGATAAACATGTCCAAAGGCAAAGGTGTAATTAACACATAAGCAAATCTCCACAGCACACAGGCATCTGGAGGCTGTGCAGAACAGAAAGGGATCTTCATTCCTGTTATTGCATAAACATTTATGGCACCTGGCCAGAGTCCCAGCTGCACAAATGGAGCCGCCTCAAGATACAAACTTGTGGTAGAACCTGGAGGGAACTGCACATAAAGGCTGCGCTGGGAGGAGGCTGCCCAAGGAGCAGCTGCACAGTGCCACACTCAGGGACAGCCCTGCACTGCCTCCCACTCCCGCCTGGGAAGAGGCTGCCTCCAGGAACCACAGACCTAGCCAGGCTTTTACAGTTAAAAACTGGGGGCAAGTTACCAAGCTACAAGAGGCCAGCAGTACAGACTCCAATTCAGTAAGATGTGATGAAGTTTTACAATATTCTGTGAAATAAAACAAGGCAAAGCACACAGACTCTAGAGTGCAGAGCTGATGGCCTTGCACCTCAGAAAGCTACAGAAGACAGACATCAAGGTAGTGACAACTGGGGTCCCACAGGGCTCCATCTTAGTGCCAGTTCTCTCAAATGTCATAAGTGACTCGGGGGCAGGACTGGAAAGTCGTGAGTGAGTTTGCTGAGAACACTCGCTTGGGAGGAACTGCTGACATTCTCAAGGACAGAGAGGGCCCACAGACAGACCCTGACAAATGGGAGGATTGGGAAATCCCCAACCATGTGAGGTTTAACAAGGGCAAGTGTCAGATCCTGGCCTGGGATGGGGCAGCCCTGGATGCAGGGACAGACTAGGAATGAGAGGCTGGAGAGCAGCGCCCTGGCAAGGGACCTGGGGGTCCTGGTTGGTGGCGAGTTGGATCTGAGTCACCAGTGAGTCCTGGCAGCCCAAAGGGCCACCAGGCCCAGGGAGGGATTGTCCCGCTCTGCTCTGCACTGGGGCAGCCTCACCTCCAGTGCTGGGGGCACTTGGGGCACCACAAGATCAGGAGGATCCAAAGGTGTTGGAGAGTGTCCAGAGGAGGGACACGGAGCTGGGGAAGGCTCTGAGGAGCAGCTGAGGGCACTTGGCTCGTTCAGCTGGAGCAGAGGAGACTGAGGGGAGGCTCCTCGGGGGCTGCAGCTCCTCCCAAGGGGAGGCGGAGGGGCAGGGGCTGAGCTCTGCTCTGGGACAGGAGCCCAGGAAGGGCTGGAGCTGTGCCAGGGCTTGGGATGGATCTCAGGGCAAGGTTCTTCCCCCCGAGGCTGCTGGCACTGCCCAGGCTCCCCAGGGAATGGGCCCGGCCCCAAGGCTGCCAGAGCTCCAGGAGCGTTTGGACAGCACTCTCAGGGATGCTCAGGGTGGGCTTGTTGGGGGGTCTGGGCAGGGCCAGGGGCTGCACTGATCATCCCTGAGGGTCCCTTCCAGCTCAGGATATCCTATAGTTCTTTGAGCTACACCATTTTTTAGTACCAAAACTTGGACTTCTTACATATGCTGAAATGCTTTTCTTCCTTAACATTAACATGCCAACACTTTTACAGGATCATTCCTAAAATAGATAGTGCCAAGCTGGTTCTGATCACACCTGCTTACCTCTACCACCTCCTCCTCCAAGTTTTTCTCTTTTTTAATTTAACACATTACTCCCATATGTTCTTTCAGTGGCAAAACTGGAGAAAGCTCCCAAATTTAACAGAGATCAGCTTCCACCAAATGAAGCAGTCAGAGACAACATAATTGCAGTGAAAAGTTAGAAAAGTCTGTGATGCTATTAATAAAGGAGATTTAAAAAATAAAGATTAGTGCATGCCATATCAAACACTCTTCCCTGTTTTGAAGTTTACTTACCACCACCCTTACCGACCCACAAGCTACCAAATGTGTGTCTCAAACTAAACAGTTTGACAAAATGCCCCTTCCCTCTTTTCTTTTTTTGGGTTGTTGTTGTTTTAACACCATGAGTAAGAGAGCTAAGCCTGCAGAACCCACACAAGGAGCGTGATCAGCCTGGGAGCACCACACATTTGAAGCAACCTCCCAAAATGGTTCAGCACAGTATTCGTGAGAGATCCAGATCCAGTTACACAGCAAAGAGACATTTTAAATTCTGCATCTGAAACACATTTGACTATCAAGCTTTTCAGTTCCCATCTGCCCAAATTTCACCTACAACTTTCACTCAGAAGCACAGCACAGATGGTTCAACAGAGAGACTGCAGAGGCAGAACACAGCAGAGAATGTTCAGCACCTGAATAGTGACATGCTTTTACCCTAAAACCTGTGCCACTAATGCAGACTAAGGGAGCAAGCAGCACCTCTGGTTTGTAGTATGTTTTTGCTGTCTCTAAATTTGTTCATGGGAAGTGAGTCCATTTCCCCCAAAGCAAGTAAAAAAGGCTTTTCCAGAAGGACTTGAAGGTGCTGGTGCAGCGGCTGAATATGAACTGGTGTGTGCCCGGGTGGGCAAGAAGGCCAATGGTACGTGGCTTGTATCAGCCAGTGTGGCCAGCAGGACCAGGGCAGTGACCGTCCCTGTGTGCTGGGCACTGCTGAGGCCCCACCTCGAATCCTGGCGACAGTTCTGAGCCTCTCACAAGAGGGCTGGAGCATGTCTGGAGAGGAGAATGGAGCTGGGGAAGGGGCTGGAGCACCAGGAGCAGTTGAGGGGAAGCTCAGCTGGAGAAAAGAGGTTCAGGAGAGACATTGTCGATCTCTACAGCTCCCAGACAGGAGAGTGCAGCTGGGTGGGGTTTGGGCTCTGCTCCCAGGGAACAAGGGACAGGACAAGAGGAAATAGTCTCAAGCTGTGCTAGGAGAGGTTTAGGTAGACAACAGGAGGAATTCCTGATCATGGAAAGCATGATCCAACACTGGCACAGGCTGCCCAGGATAGTGGTGGAATCTCTATCACTGCAGTGTGTATGTGGCACTTGGGAACATGGTTTAGGCACTGCTGAGGGAATGGTTTGACTTGATGTTAGAAGACTTTTCCAGATTGAATGATTCTGTGATTCTATGATATTTAAGTTTGAAGAAATAAAAGATCTTGAGGACCTACAAGTGTTCAATATTCTTCAGACAGTATTTTGTCACTAATTATGCAGTTTATGCTTAGAGAAGAAAGGTGGGATTCGGTGGAAGGGTTTGGATTCCTTGAGAAGAATTTGTATTCTGACTTTATGTTCTTCATGCACCTTCTGTCCTGTCTCTGAATTGGCTGGATTTTCTCATAGCTCATTACCTCCTAAACAATACTTACAGGCAGAGTTATGGTGCTGAACAAGTGCCTTTTGTTCTTTTTATTGACCCAACCTTCATGTATTCAAACACAGAAGTGTTTTTTCTTGGTATGGATATGTTTTTAATAAGCCAGTATACAGAATGCCAGGCCTGGCAGGGAAATGAGAGCAGCAATTTTGAAAAGTGATTTCTGTGGTTTGAGGCAGGCTGTACTTGTTTGGATTCCCCAGCACACACTGAAGGAGGGGTAGGAAATTGCAGGTTGGTTCTGTCAATTCAGACATGCTCTGCTCAAGCAGTTCAGGAGCTGGATGATTCTTGACCCTTTTTTATTCCAGAAATTATTATTGTACCTTCTCTTCTAGAAGTTATTTGGGTGGGGTAAGTATTTAACAGGAGAGGTGCTGATGAAAGTAAGACTTGGAATACCAAAGACAGGACGTAAATGTAAAGCTGAATATATTTCCTAATTTACACAGGCCAAAGAGTGGTAAAGGATGCCTTAGTAACTAAAATACCATTAATGTTATGTTGATGCTTTATTTTGAAGCATCTCAATTCTGAAAAAGGTTGCCTGGAGCTTTTCTTACTAGTAAGTCATAAACAGACTCCAAATTTATAGTCAGCAAGAGCCTACCCACACCCAGAGATACCACCTGCTCTTTGGGCCTGTATTAAATGGCACAGACTTTAAGGTAAAAACATGTCACTACTCAGGTGTTGAGTATTTCCAAGCCCTCTGGAATAGCCTCATCACTTGCTAAGGGGAAAAGTACACAAGTACTCAGTCCTCCAATCCTGACAGGAAGGATTTGAAATCAAACCCAGATGTCCTGCTTCCCCAAATCCAAAGTTTTCATTTCTTTTGATTTGACTAAACCCGGTCACAACACTTGCAAATCAATAAGACAAAGCCCTCAGTTGGCAGCAGAAGTGACAGCTCCTCTAGCTCTGGCAGCTGCAGTGTCCTCATGCCAGCTCCAGGTACTGACCACGTTACAAAAACCTAACTCAGCCCCAAAGGGCTGATGTTTTTGGCTGGTTTAGTAAGCATCACCTCCTCCTCAACTTGGAGTACTGCATGAGTATTACCACTTATAGATCCTTTTACTGGCTCTTGAACAAGCTGTAATGGAAAAGAAGGAAAAAAAACCACCAACAGAAAAAGCTATGCCATAGCTCTTAGCTGTGTAATAGCAGAGACTATTAGGAATGCATTCAGAATGCCAAGGCTTTACAGAGCAGCCATTGGGAACAAGCAAGATATGCTGTGCTTGGCCAAGCTCAAGCAGAACTTGTCCACACTTAACCCACAGGAACATTACACCAACCAAGCAAACCTTTTCAGGAACTGGCCTCCTTTCAAACCAGCAATAGCACAAAAAGTTAGAGTTGTGTCTTTTACCAATATTTACCTTTTTAAAACTATAAGGATATAATTTGTTACCCAGTAATTTAGTAGGGTATAGTGCAAGAAGCATTTATAAAATCAGCCACTTACCCCTATGCAATGGGAGCAGTTAAAGCTTTATTTCAAAACAAACTACAACCATTGCTGCCTTGTCCTCAAGAAGCATATTCACAGCTTTGTAAGACAGAGATCACACTAATGACAAGAAAAAAAAAAATACTCCAGTGTTACGGTGTCAGATGGGATCTTAACACTCACACTCCTGAATATTCAATATTCCACCAAAATCCAAGATTCTGGACTATGCAAAGAGCCATTACAACACAACAGTGTACTTCAGAGCATAAGATGTAGGCAACTGCTCTGCACTGAAGGTCCTGCAAAATTCCATGTTTTTCTGCCTTTCCAAAGCATCCTGATGAGCACCTCCTGCCAGGGGCACTCAGAAACACCTTTATGCACTCACTGCCATCAGCTTTACAATGCCCCTGTTCTAAAAGTGCCAACTTTTAGAGACCAGCAATACACACAATCTGAACTCCAGCTTCATTTGAAGGCAGAGTGGTTCACAGGCAGAGCCAAAACACTGATTGAATCTCCAGCCTGCACTCAGCCACCCACTCTGGAACAGGAGTACAGAAGCTGGAGATGTAAGTGAAACGCACAGTGATCCATGCCTCCCCTCACTTTCCATGGCAGAAAACATCCCCCTTTCCTCACAGGCATGGGCCCAACTTGCAATTAGAGGTGACAAACATTTGACCTTCTGTACCTCCACCTGCACTCACAGACAAGCTTCAGAACTTCCTATGACAGCTTCAGAAGCTGAGGTAAAGCTACAGATCCACCATCCCAAAGTGATGCACAATCCTACCACAATGACAGAGAAACTCTGACCAGCAAACCACAAAAATTTAGGGCACTCTGATGACTGAGGTTGCAGGAAGCCTGTGAGAGGCAAGGACGTAATGCTCCTGACATGGAGCTCTGTTTGTGGCCTGGACTACCATGAGCCAGCAGAAACTCAGGGTTGTAAGACCATCAGGAAACAGCAAAATCTCTGTTTTTGGAAGAGCTTTTACCGAAGATAAACACTGCCACCGCTAATCAAAGAATCCCACAATGATTTGGGCTTGAAGGCACCTTAAAGCTCATCTTGTTTCACCCCTGCCATGAGCAGGGACATCTTCCCCTATCCCAGGCTGCTCCAAGCCCTGACCAACCTGACCTTGGACACTTCCAGGGATCCAGAGGCAGCCACAGCTGCTCTGGGCACCCTGTGCCAGGGCCTCACCACCCTCATAGGGAAGAATTTCTTCCTAATGTCTAATAAATCTTCTCAGGACACCACTACAAGCCCAAAAGGTTTTCACCAAGATTTTTGTATACACAACAGTTGCTCTTAAGTGCAAATGCTCCTCAAAGATGACACTCAGGAAAGCTCACCAGGAACATCTCTTGCTGCCTCTCACACAGATGATGCTCAGGTATCACCACTGCTTTCAGCATAGATGTTTTTACTAAATCCCTTTTTTCTCCACAACTAAAGGAAAAAAAGGGAAGATGACAGCCAAGCCTGTACTCCAAAGACCAGGCTATTTTCAGCTGTTCAACTGAAACTCAAATACAAGTGATGGGCAATTACAGAGATCAGAATCAGCAGCCAACCCCACCAATGCAGCCACACAGCAGCCAGGCCCTTTGTTGAGGGGTTCCAAATTTGCTTCAGCTGGTTTTTATTAAGTCAGGAGAATTGTAGGGTTGTTATTTTACCTTCATAAATGATGTTTTCATTCAATACACATCCCACTGCAGCATATCATTGTCTCTTGGCAGTGCAAAGCTTATCCAAGCAGACATGACAACCACGCACTCAGCAGGGGATTTCTTCAAAAATCACCACAATGAAACCCCTTTTTTATTGCTTGCAGGTGGTCATTATTTCACCTTTTCACCATGATGCTCCATAAATAAGAGGGACACACTTGCTCCCAGGGAATACAAAATACATCATGAAGTCCTCAGCAGCGCAGGAAGCCTAGCATCGGGAAACAAAGCACAACACATGGGGTCACTTTGATGGTACCTCTTGCCTGTGGGCCAAAAGGCCCCTAATTAACAGGAAGTCTCCTTAAAGAGGTTTATCTGTTACAAAAGCAACACAAACAAGGCAGCAGCAGGAACACTCCAGTTTCAGAGATGCAGTAATTGGCCAAGGTACCTGGTGAAGTAGCACCTGCACCACTGGGCTGTGATGGCTGTCACCTGGCTCATGGGTGCTCCAAAGGCTGGGGTGAAGAGCAGGTTCAGCTCCAGCAGGTATTGCCTGAGAAACACTGAGTGCTGAGCAAGTTCTGCTGCTCTCATTTGCTAGTGGAAGAGGTTCCTGCTGGTCCCCGTGTGCTCAGGCAGAATGACACAGAACCCCATCCCTTCTGCAGGTACTGGAGGCTAATTCCTGCTTTGGGGAAGGGGCTGGATATGATTTCTCCAAGGTACTTCTTGGCAAGGAGGGGACATGCACAAACCTTACAATGTTCTGCTTTGAGATTTCATCTCAGTTCAGGATATAACCAATGCCAAACACTTGTGCATCTCACAAGGCAGGGCCTGATCAAACACCACAGCTCTTTCTACAGCACCTGGCCCGTGGTACTCCCCTTGGATACAGGAGCTGAGCTCTGGATAGTCACTGGCCTCCACAGAGGGCCGGTTACAGCCACAGCACTTAGGTTTCCACCATCACCTGGTGGCAGTTTTCCCCACACTAACACATTTTGTACAAGTCACTGGACAGACAGGAGAAACCAAGGTTCTGCTTTCAACCAGCATATGATGGCACCTATTTTGGTAATCACCTAGAAAATAATTACTTGTTTAATTATTCTGTGTAGAATCAAAGAATCATTTAGGTTGGAAAATCCCTGTAAGATCAGAGTCCAACTGTTCCCCCAGCACTATCAAGGCCACCACTAACCATACCCAAGGTGCCAGATCCACATGTCTGTTAAATCCCTGCAGGGTGTGGACTCCACCACTGCCCTGCATATCCCAGTGTTACACAGAATCACAGAGTGGGTCAGGTTGGAAGAACCACAGTGGTCATCTGGTCCCACCTCCCTACTTAAGCAGGGTCATCCCAGAACATATGGCACAGGATTGTGTCCAGACACTTCTGGAATACCTCCAGTGAGGGAGACTGCACACCTTCCCTGGGCAGCCTGTTCCAATGCTCAGTCACTGCACAGGGAAGTTCTTCCTCATGTTCAGAAGAAACTTCCTGGGTATCAGCTCCTGCTCCTTCCTCTTGTCCCATTGCTGGGCCCCATGGAGCAGAGCCTGGTCTCTGCTCCAAGCCCTCCCTGCAGACACAGAGAGAGGATGAGGGCTGAGGCCCCCCCTCAGCTATGTCTCCTCTCAAGGCTGAACAGTCACAGTTTGCTGAGCCTTTCCTGAAGAGAGAGATGGTCCAGTCCCTTCAGCATCTCTGCAGCATCCACTGGACCCACTCCAGGAGCTCCATGTCCCTCCTGTCCAGAACTGGACACAGCACTCCAGATTTGCCTCACCAGGGCCAAGCAAAGGGGCAGGATCACCTCCTTCAACCTGCTGGCAATGCTCTTCCTAATGCACACCAGGATCTTACTGGCCCCTTGGCCTCCAGGACACACAGCTGGTCAGGAACAGTCTGTTGTTCACCAAGACACCCAGGGCCTTCTGCAGCTGCTCTCCAGCAGGTCAGCTCCCAGCCTGGACTGGGGTTATCCCTCCCCAGGTGGAAGATCCTATACAACTCCTATACAAACTCCTTGTTGAAGTTCTGACAGTTCTTTCCTGCCCAACTCTCCAGCCTGCTGAGGCCCCTCTGCAGGGCTGCACAGCCCTGGGTGGGGGGACTGGGCACAGGACTGAACCTGGGGGGGTGCTAATAAAAAGGAAGTGGGGATGGACAGAGTGAAGTATGTGGATCTTAGGGACACAGGGTCCTTAGAAGTTTTTTTGTAAGTTTTTACATGTAGGTCACTCCTGACTCAAAGAGGACTGACTTAGGAGCAGAAAAAAGGACAAGAAAAGGCTATAGTCTGCATTTTATAAGAACTTATAGAACCTGCAGGGCTCTTTGTTTGTTTCTGTTTAGTAGTTTCTATTCTGTGAGCACATTTTTCATAGGGCTACTGACTTTAATAACATTCAGTTTCCCTTCAAAAAATCCACAGAAGATGGTTATCCAATTACTTTGTACTTCCAAGTGGGTAAAGACAGCTAAAAGCACCAGCTTTATAAATACACACTCTGGAAAGGCTTCCAAAAAATAAGTCAAATATTAAAAATTCACCAGCAGCCCCATCCTCAGAGGTTTACTGAAAGGTCAGGCATCCAAAACTCTGCTTCATCATAATACTTAAGGTACTGAAGATACAACGGTGCCCCTGGACAAACTACAAAAGTAAACCATAGAATTTATGAAGCCTCAGTCAACAGCCCCAGAAAAACTCTGCTTCTGTATTAATTATAATAATAAAAAAACCCCAAACCAGACTAATACAAGATCATAGAATCCCACAATGGTCTGGGCTTGAAGGCACCTTAAATCTCATCTCCTTCCACCCCATAGGCAGGGACACCTTCCACTACCCCAGGCTGCTCCAAGCCCCATCCAACCCAGCCTTGGACACTTCCAGGGATCCAGGGGCCTCCCCACCCTCACAGGTAACAATTCCTTCCCAATATCCCATCTAACTCTGCCTTCTGGTGGGAAGTCATTCCCTCTTCTCCTGTCCCTCCAGGCTCTTGTACATAGCCTCTCCATCTTTTCTGTTGGCTCGTTCAGGTTCTAGAAGGCAGCAATGAGGTTTTATTGCTCACAGCAGAACTGCTCTCTGAAGAGCCTTCAGCACATAATACTGGGGTGTTATCATTAAATACACACAGGAAGAATCAGCACCTCACAAGAAAATGGGCACAAAGCCTTCAAGAGAGCTACAAATCAAGAGAAAACAATCCTCCATGCCACAAATCCAACACATTCCCGAGGTGACTCCAGTGTGACCAGACAAACCTCCCTGCCCCAGCAGAACCTTCTAACGACCTGGAGGACCTTCAGCTCAGGCTGATCCTGTGTACAAATCCCACATGCAAAATGTCAATAACAGTTAAAAGCACCCTGATGGAACACACAGCGATATTGAGCTCCCTCAGACCCCAGAGCCATGGGGTGAGCAAGGCCACATCCACCGGTGCTCTATGTAAACAACAGACTGCTGGCCAAAATCTCTGCTGCTTGGCAGATCCCTTTAGGAATAAGATCCACACCATTAAAATCTCGGCTACCGTCTGTGTTATCAACTTGGTCAAGAACCAAGAGCTGACCCAGGCTCCGGCTCTTTGCATCTTTCCCCAGCGGGCCAGGGCACACGGACCGAGCGAAGGGGTTACACCGCGAGCTTCCAGCTGCTTTGCACAGCCCCGGCCCCGGGTGCAGGTGCAGGATGCCCGTTACCAAACACACCAGAGCGTTGGGGCTCACCGGCCCCGCCGTGACAGGGCACAGCCCGCCTGGGCCCGCAGGAACCGGCATAGACCGGGCTCATCCTGCCAGGGCTGACAAGGCATCGCAACGGGCGGGGAAGGAGAGGCGGGTCTGCTCGGTGACCGGCTGCCGAGGGAGAGAGGGAGGGAGAAAGGGACTAAAGAAGGCAAGGCACCT